CACAAACGGCTGATCCTTGACAGGACAGTCAGGCTTCATATGCTGCGAAGAGCCACAGTTCCAACATCTGCCGTGCTTTGAAATCCCTTTCCATTCATGTGGGAAGGTGCACTTCTGGCCTTTCTTGCAACCGGACTCAGATAGGAAGTAGCGGCATACCGGTTTGTCGCCCGAACTGGACTTTCGCTCCCCCTTTCCTCCTTTGGCATCAGCCTTGCCAGACTTTCCTTCCCTGCCATCACGAGCTTCTTTGCCTTCCCCATTCTCCTTCGGCCTGTCATGTTTTCCTTCTTTCTTCACAGGGTCCTCCTTGTTGACATTGGCACCTTGACGGACTCCTTGATAGGTAGGGTGGAACCCCCATGGAACACAGCCTCACCTTCCGCCAACAAGGATTCTGAAAACTGCTGAATGCTTCAAAACGATCCAATGTGGATAACAGCAACACCGGGTCCGGCGGTTGAATGCCCAACTCTTGAACACGAGTCAACCACCGCCTCCATGACCGCAGGGCCAACATCCAGTCACTCAAGGGCGAAGGAACCTTCTGGTCCACCAGTTGCTTGAGGAGAGTTGTCCGCTCACCAAGTCCTCCAGGTTGATATACACGGAGCACCTTGAACATGATCCCAATCGAGCTCACCTCTCTTTGGGCCACAAGCTCCGACCTCAACGACTCTGGAAGGGCCTTGATCAAAGCAACCGAGCCGAGCCCCTTTGTTCAATCCTCAGCCAAGGCGCCACCTGAAACGCCGGTCGAGATACTGGAACAAGGCGCAGACGTTCCATTGGCTCAGATCCCAACCATACCCGGTAAAGAGCTCCAGCCACCCGCAACACTTCATCCCAAAATGAAGAGCTTGAACTCATATCTCTCAAAAAGGGTCCAATGGTGGTAATCCAGTCACCTGCAACCAGTGGTCCAACCTCTGACTCCGACAACTCCGGAAGCATAGGAAGGTCTACCGCCCTCACCGACTCCTGCTGGGCCATCAAACCACCCAACCACGCCGGCACATTTCCAAACGGCATCCCGGCTCCTCCTCCTCCAGGATGACCTCCCGGAAAGCCTCCACCAGGTGGTCCCCCAGGAAATCCAGGCCCTCCTCCAGGAAAAACACCTCCAGGAGCTCCACCGGGAAAGCCAGGTCCACCTCCAGGAAAACCACCTCCACCCAACGGAACACCTGCTCCAGCTGGAGGCCCTCCAGGTTGGCCATGCGGAAAGCCGTTTCCTCCATGAAAACCACCTCCCGGGAAACCTCCACCGTGGCCTCCTCCACCAGCCTGTTGATAACCTCCAGGTTCATTACCTCCGCTTGGAGAGTGTCCCCCACTTCCTTGACTCTGTGGATCCCCTTGAGGTACACCAGAACCCCCAGCAGCAGAAGCACCTTCTCGATTGGAAAGAGGACACCCTTCATGTACGTTAGGACCGCCTTGGGAATCATGAGGAAGTGACTCTTGACATCTCTTGACCACACCCACCAGTTCCCGGACCTGAACCACGACTTTCTCGTGCCCCCATCTGACTGGCTGCCTGAGTTGAATCTCCCAAGCTGCCTGTCCTCGTCTGATGCCATCCACCAGGTGCAGGTTGAGCCATAGTGCAAGCGCCCCTCGACACCATGTTGAACAGATCCATCAAATTCGCTCTGGAAAACGAGCCATGCCCTCCGTGAGCTCCCGGACCATGCGGAGTGAAAGGAAACCCACTACCACGATCGCCCGTAGGTGCTAATGCCCCCAACAAACTCTCCTCCTTGTGAGGCATCAAGGAACCCACCGATGCTTTCAAAACATCCATGTCCCATAGGGTTTCGATCATACCCTTGACCACCACCCATGCCCACACCAAGCCACTGTTGAGGTCCATACGCAGGTTGAGGAGGATTCCAACAAGCTTGACTCGCAGCGAAGGCTTCCCTCTCCGACCACAAGCGAGCATTCTCCTGCATCAACCCTTGCACCATCGCCCGGAAGGCTTCCTGCGGTTCCCTCGGTGGACTAGTAGTCGAGGTGATTGGTGGGAGAGTGTTTTCCGTTCGAGCAGGCCTACATGCACGTAGTATTGCTTCATCTCTAGCTGTCTCACTCCAGAAAGGATTCACATTCGGCCCAAAGGAAATTGGGGTTCCAACTGGTCCCACCAGCGCCCCATCATGGCAGCAAATGCGTCACCTTGGGCTCATAACCCAGGTTTGCGAAAAAATTCCTCGCTCTTTTTCTTCGAACAAGAAAGGGCTCACGAAGGTCGTTCATGAACCATCATCTCATGTACATCACTCATGAAACAGGGATTCCGCTGGTATAATATATACTGTATATTATATATATATCCCGATGGGTTTACTTAAGACCGTGAGACGTCTGTGAAAATCACTACTTTTTTTTGACGGTTTTAATGTTTTTTGGGGAAGACGATTAGTGTCAGTGTGGGTTGATTGTTGTGATGCAGTGACACGGGCTTGCCCCAATGCTGGACAACACGCATGCAAGCATTTTGCCCACCCCCCCGAACCCTCCCTTGAGATACACATATGTGCGCAATACAACACACATGCATGTACAGGCGGATGCGCGACGAACCCTCAGAAAATGGAACAGTTTTGAAGTCGTAGTTGCACCGTGTTATATACAACACGAGAAAAGCACGCACGAAAAAGATGCGTCCTTTTCGTGCCAATTTTCCAACACAAATCTATTCAAAAAGCACGCAAATGATATATAATATAAAAGCACACGTGATGCAAAAACACTCACTGTCTATCGGCGTTTTGGTTTTGCAGGTGCTGCAGCCGTGCTGATGCTGGTGCAGGTGCAGGTGCTGGCTGGATCGGCGTTTTGGTTTTGCAGGTGCTGCTGCCGTGCTGATGCTGGTGCAGGTGCAGGTGCTAGTTCTGGATCGGCATTTTGGTTTCGCTGCTGCTGCCGCCGTGCTGGGTGTTTTGTTTTGCTGATGCTGGTGCTGGATCGGCGTTTTGTTTGGACGGCGCCAGCCATGCTGGTGCAGGCACTGGCTCTGGATCGGCATTCCGATTTGCATCGTGCCAGGGATGACATCATGTCATGCCCAGAATGACTGCCAGGCACGACATCACGTCATGCCAGGAATGGCATCATGCCATGCCAGGTGGCATCTTTTGTCATGCTCAGGGATAACATGATGTCACGCCAGGGATGACATCATGTCTTGCCAGGGGTGATACATTGTGTCATGCCAGGGATGACATCGTGTCATGCCCAGAAAGACATCATGTCATGCCAGGGGTGACATCACGTCACGCCAGGAATGACATCATTCCATGCCAGGATGATGGCAGGGTCATATTGCGCATGACCGGGTGTCGTGCCCGTCCGTGGCGTGTCCTTAAAACCGATACACCCACTATCTAGCGTCTATGCCGGTTTAGTTTCTTCTAGAGTTGCGCGAGAAGTATGGGCGTTGTGCCCTGGAGGGCCATGCGGCCAGTCGGGAGCTCAGAAGAAGTCCGCCGCCAATGACCTCTTCCTCATTGTCTCCTGCTCCCTCCATGAGTTCCTCCTCTTTGTCATCTCCGCCCTCATCAGCTGAGAGCTGGGTGCTGAGAGCACCTTAGTTGTAGCAGTGTCGGCGGCCAGTGCTGATGCCGTACTGGATGCAGCGGAGGTATCTGGTGCAGCGGGTCTGTGAGGTCTTGGCCGTGAGAGCCACGTGTGGCAGCCCCTTTGCATTCCTCAAGTTGGTGGTCAAAATGAACCCAACTTTGTGTGTATGGCTGCCTGAATCCATGTCTTGAGGTAACCCAGCCTTGGGTGTCCGCTGTAGCGGCTTTTCGTATAGAGTCGAAGCTGATTAGCGCTTTTGTTTGCGTTGGCCCCTTGCTGCAGCTGTGCTTCTACCTTCCACCAGGGGTCATGCAAACGGATGGTAGCTGCAATGAGTGTAGGTGTTTCAGGCCAAGTGTTGGAGCACTGTGTGCTGTGTGGGGTGCCTCGATGTGTTGCGTGACCACCGGATCGCCAGGGTCCTCAAGTGATCCTCCTTTGTGTCTGGGGGCTTGGCGGCGTCTTGGTAGCTCTTTTTGGGCCATGTCACGCCAGGGTCGGGTGGTAAATGGCGCAGAGGCCTTTGCCTTTCCAGCAGACTTGGAGGTAGTATTCCATCATTATCCACACTGACGACATTTGGTGCCTGCTCTGAGCTTGTCCGTCCATATCCAATTGCTATATACACTGTCTGGAGGAGCAGACAGTGTAGCCACGGCGACATGAGGCAGAACCTGAGGCAGTCATATTTGATGACCCGGTCACTCTCATGTATGTATGTATGTATGTATGTATGTAAGTACGTAATGTAATGTAGTGTAGTGTAGTGTAGCGTAGCGTAGCGTAACGTAACGTAACGTAATGTAAGTATGTAACTGTATGTATGTAATGTAATGTAATGCAAGGTAATGTAAGGTAATGTAAGGTAATGTAATGTAATGTAAGGTAATGTAAGGTAATGTAAGGTACGTATGTATGTATGTATGTATGTATGCATGTATGTATGTACGTATGTACGCATGTATTCATGTAGTGTCAAGCAGTGTAATGTAATTTATGTAATGTATGTAATGTGTACAATGTTACTCAATATAATGTAGCGGAATGGAATGTAATGTAGATTATTTTAAATTGTATGTATGCATGTGTGTATGATTGCTTGTATGTATGTACGTATGACTTGATTTGGACGACTTGGTTGTCCTGCTGCCAAGTAGGATTGCTTTGACCATGTCTGACCCTGCTGCCGCCTGTTTGGGTCCAGATCGTTTTGAGTTGTTTTGCTTGAGAACTGGCTGAACTCCGTGCCACTACCAGACCAGTTGTTCTGTGGTGTTGCTCTCTTATATGGACAGCCTGAACATACAAGCTTCAGGCGTGTACGCCACATGCCGCACGAAAAGCCTTGAAATTCATTTCACTGCAGCTGTTGGTTTGTGTTTACCTTTATGTGCTGGTTCACGACCATCCAGGAACAGATCCAGGTTGATGAGGGAACGCCAATCCAGGAGATGGTCAAAAAGTCGGGAGCCGGTCAAAGACAGTACTATGGAGCAGGTAAACATAAATAGATAAAAATATATATATATATATATATTTGTCTATATATAGCAGCAACAGAAGATCGACAAATAACGTCGCAATGACATACCCACCTTTTGTTTGGTTCTTCTAAGCAGTTGGCGGGTGATCACGATGCAAATTATCATTTTCTCAAGCGTCTGGCACACTCTGAGTTGGACAACTTTTGCATGCTTAGTAGAGAGGATTGGGACTTCGAATGGCTGGAGGGCAAAGATGTAGGGCAGTTCGGCGCTGAGCACGAGTGGGTCTGAATCGGGAGCGCAGTGAAATGAACTATGATGCATCACAGACCTCTAAGTACCTACTCTTCGCTGTTTTGGATTTGGAGCCTTTGATGCACAAGTGCAATGATGCACTAGGATTCGCTGGCTTATTTGTTTGAGATGGACCTGCCTTGCGCGTTGAGCAGATCATACTTTCTTCCCCCATTGGCGGTTAACCTGGACAAGAGGTAGAAGAGGTAGACCCCTCCAGTGAAGAGTCGGAATGCTGCAACTCCCAATCAAGAGGGAAGGTTCCAGGTACTGGTAGCCCACAAGAATTTCACGTCACAAGCACTTTGGGATTTACAGCCAGTGGCCACTGAAGGGTTCAAGAATTTCGATGGCTAAAGAGTTCCATAGTTAACGCCAAAGTAAGCAAAACAAGGACATCTTGGTGTTGTAGTGCATGTAGTAGATTAGATATTACTTGGAACGACACGATCATTCCAAAAGAACACGATAACCGGTGATTCAAATCTTGAGAGCACTAAGGCTAGATCCACTGCTACCCTACACAGATATAAAGCAGCCTGACGACGAGCAGGTGCTAGGGCTGCTGGACATTTTTTGCGGTCAAAGTGCTTGGTTGACGTCCACGAACATGTTCATTTTTCAAGGGTCAAGCTCCCTCACAGAATCAATTTATGGAGGGTGCTCCTGAATGGTGCATGCATCTAGTCGGATGTCACAGTGGATAGTAGTATATCATAGTATATCATACTATATCTACTGTATATATTATATCTACAAATTCCTATTGATAAGCACCTGCTTGTACCAGAGCTCCTGAGAAGTTGGTTCAGGCCAACGAGCTTTCAATTATTTGTCTCAGAATTCTGTCGGCCTCAGTGTTTTGATTAGCGGCTAAGTGGCTGAACCGGTGCTTCTTTGGGAAGAGGGTATAGCCGGTGTAGCTGCTATCGCTGTGCTTGCGGGTTGTAATCTAGGCTCACCTTAAGGGTGAGAGAAGGAATGTGGCCAGCTACAACTGGGGTTGCTGCAGAACAGCATTGGACAGTTTTAGGGAGACATTTGTTGGGACACCAGATCACAATGGACGGAAAAGTAGGTTGCTTTTCAAAGCTTCGAGCCGTTGCTTCTAAACAGCAAGATTTCCCTGCTTTGAATGAGATGCCAGCTGCCAGCTGCCACCCCTGGTTGCCGGGTTTTGCATTGCACATTGGTCGACTCCAGGATCCACCAGAACGACCCCGCAGCCTGTGCTGCTTTTGTGGCGGCTCAAGTGTGGGGCACCTCAGAAGGCTGCTGTAGGAGCAACAGGATTTCACCTCCAGTTAAGTTGATTGTAGTAACAATAAACTACTAGGGGCTCCTGGCCATACTACTAGGAGCAATGAGCAAGGACGCTACTAGGGGCTCCTGGCATCGCTACTAGTGGCATTCTTACTACTAGGAACAAGATCAGAGACAACTTGAGTCAAAGGACATCCATCAATGGAAGAGTAGAGTCAGCCAGATAGTTATTGCCTGCACACCACATTCATGATGGTTGGAAGCAAAAGCCGGCTCCTGCCATATATACCTCTGAATATATGTAGATCCTGCTCTGCTGGCATGTTGATGCTACTGATTCAAGATTGTTGGATCTCCCACAGTCAACTGAGCCTGCCAAAATTGGGCTGTGCCCAGTGCAGCTCAGGTCCGGAACTAATATCAGCGTGGGGGTGCCTCCAATCCGTCCGGTGCCCTATGAGAGCTCCAGTCTGGTTTATTTGAGGGCATTGTCGGGTGTCAACCTGTCCGCGATGCCGAATCGCCCTTGCGTCCCATGCAGCTTTGATGCCTTGTTCGCTTTTGGGGTTTGTGTTTCGCACTCTGTATGATGTGTGATGTACTCAGTGAGCCTGCAACACATCACACCTTCAAAAAGGCATTTTGCCACAAAAGGGCGATCAACAAAGGATCAACTGCCAAGGAGTAGTAACGTCCAAGATGCTGTCACGAGTTCCAAGGAGTCCTTCCACTATCAAAGGCATTGCTGTTTAAACAGGTCAATTCACTAGTTCACTAGCCACTAGTGCTTGTGTGGTCCCACTGTTTCCACTGAGCAGGTCACAGAGAGAGAGAGAGAGAGAGAGCGAGAGAGAGAGAGAGAGAGGGAGAGAGAGAGAGAGAGAGCGAGGGAGAGAGAGAGAGAGAGAGGGAGAGAGAGAGAGAGAGAGCCAAGGAGACAGGCAGAGAGGCTAGTATGTCATGCTGAAGGTTTCACGTCGCTAGAGAATCCCATATTCCGTTGGCCACCACAATCCAGATAGAAGATCCTCCTCAAACACAACAGGACCAGGCGCTTCAAACAAAGCTGCTTAGTCTTGTTGCAACGCCCTAAGATCAGACTGATTGAAGACCTCAGCCCAGGTTCCGGATCCACCGAACGGCGGATTCACCTCGGGTGAAGGCCTGTTTTGCCCCGGCTCGCGCCTCATTGAGTAACGGTTGGGTCAGGCGGGGTCAAACTCAAGCAACAAGGGCTTCTGATGACGCACATTCAGAATTTGACGCCGTACGAGATGCTGGCTGGGAATCCGTCAAGACATGTCAAGACTGCTAACTTGAACTTGAGCTTGCCTGAATTTCGATGCTTGTTGGACATGGTTGAACTACAAGACCCCATACTATATAGTATTTACGTAATTACGTATATATATATATACATATGTATTTGTATATAGATCATTTTACTGTGGCCTTTGGCATGCAATTCGGCAGAAAAAAGGAAGAGAGTGCGTTTGCTTTTTGTTTTGCTTGTCTGAGGCTTTGCCGGATGACTATTTTTTGCCCAGGAGCATGTGGCGGGGGTGCAGGCTCCAGCACAGTTCACATCCGTGCAGTGTTCAACTGCCAAACAAACGATAAAGCCAATCGGTAGTATAGATGGAACCATCACTCTGGGAACCATCATCGGAAACCCTTTGTTCAGCTGAGTAAACTTCCATCACCAATACCTTGGTTGAATACAATAGCATGTGAGTGGTCACCCAGTAATGAATCATGAACCAGGACCAAGACCCAGGTGTTGTTTTTTGCGTCTCTTGCAAGATGCGAAGCAACGCTGCTGCATTCACAGAAAAGAATCAAAGATGCTCGCATTAACCTTCCAGTCTATGGCTGATATCTTCAGACACATGTACTGGGGATTTACTTGTGCGACTTTAGAGACTGCCTTCGCTCGTTGGCCCGAACGAACTCTGGCTGCAAGGACCAAGCACCAGTGTTTCTCAGTGGTTCTTTGTGTAATTCGCGGCATCAGACTGGAGGCCCAGCTCATTTGCTGAAGATTGAACCCAGAGAAATACTTTATGTTTGCCGAATCGCCAAACCTGAGATGCTCCAGAATGTACATATTCTGTCTATCTCTTTTCCAGCTTCTTAATATTCAAGCGGTTGCGCTGCCCACTCACATTTGCAAGCAGACAAGAAGGTTCTGAACATAAAGTGCAGGCGGCAGCGTACATGGCCCAAATATTGCAAACTTCCTCATAGGGAGGCAGGACCTGGGGAACTCTTACTTTGCCAGCTTAGGTATATACTGTAAGGGGAAATGAGGGACCCACGGCCCACGGCTAGCAAGTAGTCCTGCAAGCGGGAGCTTGGGAACCCTTGCAGAGAGAGAGAGAGAGGAACGGAGGAAGAGAGAGAAAGAGAGAAAGACAAAGGCGCACATTTTCAAAAAGGTCAATTCGCTAGTTCACTAGTCGCTAGTGTTTGTGTGGTGCCACTGTTTCCACCGAGCAGGCCGCAGAGAGAGAGAGAGAGAGAGAGGGAGAGAGAGAGAGAGGGAGAGAAGAGAGAGGGACAGAGGAAGAGAGAGGAAGAACGAAAGAGAGAAAAAGAGAGAAAAGAAAGAAAGAGAGAACGATAAATAAACAAAGAAAGAAAGCAAGAAAGAAAAACAACGAAAGGAAGAAAGAAAGGAAGAACGAAAGCAAGAAAGAAAGGAACCAACGCAAGAAAGAAAGAAGGCAAAAAAGAAAGCAAGAAAGAAAACAAGAAAGACAGAAAGAGAGGAAGGAAGGCAGGAAGGAAGGCAGGAAGGAAGGAAGCATTCTGAAGAAATGTGAGGCCACAACCATGTTCTTAGAGTCTTTGCGGCACCGTAGACATCGATGACTGGGCCACTCTGTTGTCCGTGGAGCCGGGGCTGAAGAGGGGCCCTGGCTGGTGAAGAGATCATTCCATGGACCTTGACCTCTGGTCCTCAGAATCTTTGAGTCACACTCTCCAGGCGTTTTTCAAAGAAAGGCAAGGACAGCCTTTTTAAAAGTTTTCAAGTTTGTGTGGTGCAACGACTTCCAACTCAAATGCCAAAGCGGTAGCGCGAATTTGGAGTGGACTTACTGCGCATTCCTTGTCATTCGTAGCTACTAGTAACAAGTGCATCGCTACTAGTAACAAGTGCCTTACTAGTAGTAACAAGAAGCTAGTAGAAACAAGTGCCTTACTAGTAGTAACAGGTGCCTTACTAGTAGTAACAAGAAGCTAGTAGAAAAAGTGCCTTACTAGTAGTAACAGGTGCCATACTAGTAGTAACAAGAAGCTAGCAGAAACAAGTGCCTTACTAGTAGTAACAGGTGCCTTACTAGTAGTAA